CAAATTTTTTACCTGATCCCTTACATTTTAGACTTTTATATCATTATTTTCATAGCTCATCTCGTCCCATATTCGTTTCACATTTTTTTTTTGTGCGCGTAATTTCCTTAGCTCCAGCCTAACTTATTATATTCTTTGGCATTCATAACTATCCTACAAAGCAGAACAGTAGGTCATCGTTATTGAGAGCATTAAAAATTTGGAGAAAAAGACTTTTAATTTTCTTTTACATCGAGCAACACATTTTATCGAGGTCCATATATATAGGAATGACAGAGACGTACAAACGTTCTGTCGCTACGCAAGAGTATTTCATCTGCGTTCATAATTGTTTAAAAATTTTGTCTAGTTACTTGATAGAAAATAGAAATCTGATGTAATTTTATCGTTCATAGTTTTTAATTAAAATTGCATTTCTGATATGTTTTCTGATTTCCGAAGTGATCTCATTCTTGAAATTCGTTTTGTTCACACAATTCCTGTTGTACCATGGTAGGTATGCAAGTCTTCCTTCTGTCCGAGGGTTTTTTCAGTTCACTTTTTGTATGGCTACTTTTAATGATTGAATGAAACGTAATTGTAATTTTAAAATAAACAAATATATATGTATGTATATACTTTTCTCCTTGCTCTTATTTATTGTTCTTAATCTCTCGGCTTTTCAACCAGAAGGCTCGACCTGCTCCAAGTATGATTTCCACACGGAAAAAGGTGACTGGGAGGAGGCCAAGAAAAACTGTGCCAAAAACAGTGGTTCACTTGTCTCTATGGAAACCGAAAAAGAATGGCACTTTGTTACGAACTTGACCAAGAATGAAAAAAAAACACGTTGGTTCATTGGTTTATTTGAAAGCGCTAATAGTTCTAATACGTGGTACTGGTTGAGTGAAAGCAAAGCATGGGTTAACGAGGGTTCTAATGAAACATGGCGTTGGAATGAAGGAGAACCAAACAATCATAACAGAGAAAAATGCGTGGAGGTGATGCAAAATGGAAAGTACAGCAACATAGCCTGTCAAAAAGCTTGGTATGATGACGATCCGGGATATATATGCGAAAAGCAAGTCAGTAAGTCGATGATCATGCCTATCTATATCAACCAACGTTACTAATCACAGTAAGACGAAAAGTTGTAAACAATCCTTGATTTTGAAGCAAGTAACTCTTATTCATATTTTCTCCTCAGATTGTTCCACTGTTTCATCGAAAGCAGATATTTTCATTTTGAAAGGTAGAGAACCTGCGTCAACCCACCAGCTGTTAGAGACAAAGACAACAGCCACCTCCCTCAGAACTCAAAGGAAGAATACAAAAACTGAAGATCGGCATGAGATGCTTTCAGAAGGTGGGATTTACTTCGTTGAAAGTTTATTATTTAAGATATCCCTAATGTACCGCTCGCTTCTTGTCAGATGTCACACTGCAATCCCCCCCC